GACTGAAAGGGATCAGGATCAACCATACTTCCATGACAAAGTGGGCAATGCATCTCTACTCTAGGTAAAGGACAAGGTACTGTTTCATCAAAACTACCTACATGAATTTGACCCAGCTCTGGGAGGCAATGGAAGACAGGAGGGCCTGGTGTGCTCTGGTTCATAGGGCCACGAAAAGTCAGTCATGACTAAACAACTAAACAACAACTGTTTCATTCACTTCTTATCTCTTTTATACGGTGATGTTCCACTCTGCACTATTGTTCGCTCTTTCAATGCCTTTTGCTTATTTATGGATGAGGGCCCAGGACTACAAACATTATTTGAAACTAAGCACAATCCCATTAAGTTGTCTCTATCCTGAACATATATGGATTGAGTACCACCTGGAGTTATTTAGAATAAATATTTTAGGTTTGGAAAACAATTAAACGTTATTCTTCATCTTCTTGTATAAAAGGGAAAATGCATTGATATGTGTACCAAATAGAAACTGTGTTCGACCTACCAAAGAAACACAAACAATGGTTCAGGGAACATTAAATAATAACATCTTTGTGTCTTTGGTTTGTTCTTGATCTCTGACCTGATATAACAGACCTTGGGGTATGTTTTTGTCAGAACTCACTAGGAGATGACAAATTGTTCAGTTTACATTATCTCCAGCTGCTGCAGCCAATTTACTGACAACATTGCAAAAGTGTCTCCTAACAAAGGAATATTGACCTCCAAGGTGCCTTCTGTTCTCTGTCATAGTTCTGAAAAAAAAAAAAATAGAATCACATGTATATCATGGTGGAAGAATATTATATCCTGCCTCCACCACACACACACACACACACACACACACACACACACACACACACACACACACACACACACACACGTGTGTAGTCAAAGATGAGACACAAAACAGTAGACTAGCCCACAAATAAAGGGACATTGCTCTTCAAATGGCAACTGTGTATTTCTTTAGGATAAAAAAAAAATATCCAGAGGCATGCAGTGAATCAATTAATTAATTGCACACTATAGCTGGTTTTCTGTTACCTTGATAGAGTAGAGAATAGTAGTGTCAGTGGCTGTGAGGAGATTTTCTGACTGTCCCTGGTGGGGTGTCTGCCTTGGCCCTGAGCCCTCCCAGTGGACCTGTCAATGGGGCAGCCTGAGAGAGCAGAGAGCAAGAGCAAGGCCCAAGGTAAGAAAGAGGAGGTAGAAGCTGATGAGCACAACTTCAGGGGTATGGCAGAACTAGGCGAAGTTGGCAGGGCCCAAACTTAAAAGAGGAGGAAGAAGAAAAGAAAGGCAGCTGGGACTCTTGCCACCCTCTATGGGCTCTAATGGGGAGGAGTGAGAGGAGGTTGTGGAGGAGCTAGGTTCCTTCTTCTGCACCCTTGAGGTGGACCAGCTGCTAGTGATCCTCAACCCCTGGACCTCGGATGGGTTCAGTTCCAGCTGGTGGTAAAACATTCCTTAAATGGTTGTTGTGGGTTTTCCAGGCTCTTTGGCCGTGTTCTGAAGGTTTTTCTTCCTAATGTTTCACTAGTCTCTGTAGCCGGCATCTTCAGAGGACAGGAGTCAGAACTCTGCCTGTGCTCTGGTGCAGTTTGTTTGGATAGTTGAGCATTTATAGCTGTGGGATCAGCTTTTGTCCTTTTCAGGAGATGAGTGATTGTGGTGATCAGCATGTTTTTTGTTGTGGGTGTATTGTTGTGATAAGAGGGAGAGATCTTTTTCTTTCCCTTTTCTCTTTTTCTTTACAATCCAGCATTGTCACTCGGGTGGCAAGCTGATGAAATGATATCTTTTTTTTTAATTGCAGATATTTTCCTGTTCCCTGCAGAGGAGGAGATAGGAAAAATATGGGGGGAAACAAGTGGGGAATGGGCTAAATAGGGTTGTTTTGAAGCGTGGTGTGGTTTCCTGTCCTCAAACTACCTGGTATGTACAGGTGGATGCAAGCGAACACCATTTTGCCTGATCCAGCCTGGGATAATTTGACTGTCTAGTCCAGTGATCTCCAACCTTAGGTTTCCAGATGTTCTTGGACTAAGACTCCCAGAACCCTTCACTGCCAGCTGTGCTGGGCAGGATTTCTGGGGGTTGTCGTTCAAGGATATCTAGAGACCTGAGGTTGGGATGCACTGGTCTACTTGTGGTCTCAGTTAGAAAAGAGGATTTACAGAAAGGAACAGCAAACTTATAGCATAAATGCCACTGTTTTTTAACAAGCTACATTCAGTATCACTATAATCAGGAAGGTTTAGATAATAGAAATAAAACATCTAATTGTTGAAGTGTTCAGAAATGTCTTTCCTCTTATTCAATATGCAGCTTACTTAGTATTACCATCTCTATGTGTGCATGAAATGTCATTTCCTCACATTTCCCTCTTTCTAGAAACATATCAATTTTCTCTGTTCAATTAAAAATAACATGCCATCTTGTGAGTGGGCACTTGCCAATATAACAGATGGTCATGTGTATTGGTGTGCCATTAAAATCTAGATATTAGAAAAAAATGGATTTTCATTGAAAAATCTGGCAAGATTGGTCACTCAGGAATTCAAGAGACAGCATAGCTGACCACCAGCAGTATCTCTTAAAACTAAATTAAATTAAATGCTATTTAAATTAAAATGGATGCTTTCTCTCTCAGTGTAAATTTGTGGTAGACCATGCTTTTGCTGTACTGAAAGGAACAGAAAAGAGTTCATGGCTGGCTCTAAATAGTAAGAATGAAGACAAGGAAGGCCTCAGACATCCAATTGCACTTCAGCAAAGCTTTCTGCTGAACAGCAGTTTGACAAAACCAAATCTAAATTCATGATTCTTTCTTACCAACCTCATATTAATTAGTTTTTAACAAATCTATCTGATGTAGCTCAGAAATAATGACAAGGGCTATCAATGGGCAGAGAAGGTTCACCTTTGCATGCCTCCTGGAGGAAAATTTGGAAAACTCCACCACCCTTCTGCTCTGTCAGCAGTGCTCCAACAGCATCATAAGCATACTTCATTCTTGAGAGACTATGGTATCGTGTTCTGCATGGAGGACTTGGAACAGCATCTAGTGTGGCTGAGAAGGCCAATTCGAGAGTGACAACCCCTTCCACACTGAGGACAAATACAATCTGTACCCCATCTAGCTCCCTGATTTTGCTGCTTTCGTGACAGCCTCTTTGCCTCGGCCTGCTGGGCAAGGGTCTCTTCAAAATGTGAGAGGCCGTGATGCAATGCCTGCCTCCAGGCTGAACACTCAGATGTCAGGGTTTCCCATCTGTTGAGGTCCATTCCCAAGGCCTTCAGATCCCGCTTGCAGATATCCTTGTATCACAGCTGTGGTCTCCCTCTGGGGCGATTTTCCTGCACTAATTCTCCATACAGGAGGTCCTTTGGAATCTGACCATCAGCTGTTTTTACAACATGCCCGAGCCAACGTAGACGGTGCTGTTTCAGTAATGTATACATGCTAAAAATTCCAGCTCGCTCTAGGACTACTCTATTTGGAACTTTGTCGTTCCAGTCGATACCAAAAATGTGTCGGAGGCAACGCATATAGAACGTGTTCACCTTTCTATCCTGCCATGCTTGAAGGGTCCAGGACTCACTGCAGTACAGGAGTGTGCTCAGGACACAGGCTCAACAGCAGAAACAACAAAAAGGAGGGTATTGCCTAGAGGTGGATCAGAGGCTTTGCATTTAGTTACAGAGGTCTGTTCTGAAGGGCTGAGAAAAAGCACGCAGAACTTCTTTCGCTTCCCTTCCTCATCCTGCAGCCCCCGTGCCCTCAACAACCCTGTCTGGAGAGATGGGAAGCATCCTGAAGGCACAACAAGATTCCTGTGCTCATCTGGGAGCTGTTTCTTCTCTGTCATGCATTGATGTATGACACACCCTAGACTTCAGAAGAGTCCCCTGCCCCTCTGGAAATGTGTGGGTGCACAAGGGACTACAAGATTAGAGAGACAAAGACCTGCCTTCCACTTGTGCATCAACTAGATACAACCCTTTTAAAAAAAAAACATTGTATGTTTCCTTTATGATTTCAGCAAGAATTTGGAGGAAATATGGGAGAGAAAATACCAGCCCACCAGTGTGAAAAACATCATTGAGATTCTACAGTGACAGGCAATACCTATAATTACATTGGCTGAAATATATGAGCACCGAATTATGTGATGCTATTTATAACTACAATTGTCCATTAACATTAGCTTGCCAGTGTACTTCTAACTTTAAAAGAAAGTGGGGAAAAGAAGCTATATTTTTCATTGCAATTTGGTTTTCATAAGGGACAGGGATATTAAGAGCAGCAAGCAACCCTTCCTTCACAATCAGACGAATAACATTTTCATAGAATCAAAGAATAATTGAACTGGAAGGGGTTTATAAGGCTATCAAATCCAACCCACCCTCAGTGCAAGAATCCAAGTCAAAGCAGATCTGACAGATGGTTGTCCAATTTTCTCTTGAATGCCTTCAGTGGTGGAGCGCTCACCATCTCCCAATGTAATTGGTTCCACTGTCTTACTTCTTTAACAGTTAAGACGTTTTTCCTGATATCCAGCCTAAATCTGGCTTCCTGTAGCTTGAGCCCATTATTATGAGTCTTCAACAATGACACAACAGTAACCAGAAAGTCTGGCATCTTGGGCAAATAGCAGCATCTTCTACTCATTCAGCCCTGGGGGGAAAATGAAAGGAGCAGAACGTGGTGCCCTCTAGAAGAAAGAGAAAGTGTTTTCATCTACATATTGGCACTCTCTAAACTTTGGTGCTTAGAGCAAAGCCCCAGTTGCGCTGCTCCAGTTGCACCTGTGAATAATGAAAACAAAACCATAACATATTACATGTTTCTAAATGTATGTAGCTCATCCAGTGAGATTTATAACCAAAATCTAAGAATGAAACAAACAAACAAACAAAAAATAGAACAGTCAAAGTGTGCAGCTTGCCAAGACTGAAACGAACAAAAAAATAGAACAGTCAAAGTGTGCAGCTTTTTGTTTATTTACTAATTAATGTTTACAAAATTATGTGGATTGCAGTTCATGAGAGATATGCTATGATCAAACGTTTCTGGGTTTGCATTTCATGGGAACATTTGTCTGTAATGGCATCCCTGTTCTGAACTATAGTGTAGAGGACTGGATTGCTCTTCACATCCTAGTCTCTTCCAGTGGTCGATTCATGAAGTCTTGAATGGCCTTGTTTAATGGCAACCACTTGCTAATAGAGGCTCTCAGTGCAGTAATCCATCTAGAAAAGAAGAAAAAGTAGGGCCCGAAATAAGTAACATGTGTAGAACTGCAGGAAAAAACAGTGCTTGAAGTGGTGTGTTATCAGTATAATACATGAGCAATGCTACCTGAATGGGTGTGATACCAAAAATAGTGGAGATAAATAAACCTGCAAAGTTTGAAAGCCATCCTTAACTGGAATGTTCATGAGTGTGGGCTTTCAAAATGATCCATAGGCTGAAATCCTGTTACTTAGCATAACACAGTTCTTAACATTCAGTTCGCTCCTAGCTGGCAAAAACAGACTCCTCACTGTAGTGACTACAGGACTTAAGTAGGACTGGTAATCGTAGTTCTCGAGCGCACAGCAAACAAGTGTGCCCTCCACACAGCAGGGACTCATCATCTTAAAACTGCAGAGCTGGAAGGGATCTTATGGATCATCGAGTCCAGCCCTTGTCAAGCAGCACATTGGGGAATTGAAGTCCCAACCCCTGACTCCGAAGCCAGATACCTAAACCACTGCATTATCCAGCAATTGGTTATAACTGTAACAAGATTTCAGCCATAGCATTTCTTTTTGATTTGTTGTATTCAATGCAGTGCCATAACTGGCACTGAATTAAATTAATGCCATTTCAGGGGAATCCATAGCCCTTTGACTACAGGACTTAAGTAGGACTGGTAATGATTGGACCTTTGGGACAGTACTAATTCATCATAATTCGGAAGAAACCTGACAGTACACAACAAAAATAACTGTACTCTGCTGATTCCCAGTGTGGTGTGGTGGATGGAGTGCTGGAAATTCATCATAATTGGGAAGAAACCTGACAGTATACAACAATAATAATTGTACTGTGGTGATTTCCAGTGTGGTGTGGTGGATGGAGTGCTGGACTAGGACCCTGGACTTGAATCCCTACTTGGTCATGGAAATGCACTGAGGGTCTGGAACTGGCAAAACCACTCTTTAAATATTGAACAGGACTTGAATCCCTATTTGGTCATGGAAATGCACTGGGGGTCTGGAATGGGTAAAACTACTCTTTAAATATTTCTCTCACCTTGAAAGCCCTATTAGGGTCACTATAAGTCAGTTCCGACTTGACAGCACAGAACACACATACTCACTGATTCTTAATCTATGCTCCAGTTCTAGCCCAGTTTTCTCTTAAAAACACCAGCAACTGAAAGTGTTGTGCAGGATGTGGTAAAGAATGTGTGACCCTCCAAATGTTCTTGGCTTGAAATTCTATGCGGGATGACCCTCCAAATGTTCTTGGCTTGAAATTCCCTTCAGTCCTAGCCCAGACTCCTGATGGCAAAGAAACTACAGTACAACCACATCTGGAAGATGACATGTTCCCCATCCCTCATGTAGGAGGCTGAAGTGAGAAGACAAATTGGAACCCGTCACAAGTCCTATTTATGTATTCAGATGCCACCCTCTAACAACAGGCAAGGAAGAAGAACATGCATGAGTGTACTAGTTTTGCCCTTCTCTATCTCTATTCATGTCGAGGGCAAGTGCCTGAAGCAAAAAGCTTCTTCTGCTTGTAATGAAAGCTTCTTCTCCATGTAATGTAGAATCCTGATGGTCACAAGTTCTATGCAGTGTAGAAAGTCTCCATCACCAAAAGGACTTTCCATCTCAGATATGTGCCCTCAACACAATGAGGGTGAAGAGAATGAAGGTAGAGCCTGTATGTTCATATCTGTTGTCCTCTCTCCTTGTGTGTAGTTAGAAAGTTGGATTTGAATGCCTGCATCTAATGACACTTCTGAAGCCAACCCAAGATATTTGATGATTTAAACATCTTGACAGATCACCAGCCTTGCCCAGAAGTCATAGCATTCTTGGGAAATACATAAAATCTTAATTAAAACAGAGTGAAGTTCTACCTTCTCATGAGCCTATGATGTGCCAAAATATTCAGGTGGCCATTCAAATCACCAAAAATCAGTGTTTTTATGTTTATGGTTCGAACTAGATTCAGTACTCCTTGCTGTCGCCCTACCACTACTATTTTGTATGTTCACTTGATTAGCCTCAATATAAACCCGTCTGAAATTCATATAGAGATAACACAGATTATACTTCTCCCACTTCATGGATGTTTAAAAAATGTTTGGTGTCTTATGTTTACATTTTTGTCCTCTCTATTTGTGTGCAAATATATTTTAAAGTTTCACATATCACCCTTCTGGCAACTGTGGAAAATATTTCACACACCTGATGAAATAAGCTGAAGTGCATGGAATTTTAGTGATAATAAATTTGTCTTGACAGTGCAACAGTACTTTTGTGTTTGTGTGTCTTTGAAATGGTATTTGAGCTTTTCCCTTTGAAATTACATTTTTCTATTTAAGTTCCCTTCCTTGTGTCTGTGGGAAAGATACAACAGCATCTCTATCTGAAACACAATTGTTCTCAGCATATTTTACTCTCTATGAGAAGGCAGTCCATCACTCAGGCAATAGCTCTCAGGCCACAACACATTGTCCTTCTCTGTGATTTTATTTACAGCTAAGGATAGGTGTGAAAACAAGTGCATAGACACAGAAAACAATTTCAGTTGTGACAGACTGTAAACACAATGACGTCATCTTACCGTTTGTTTTCATTTACACTTTCTGCACATAGGTAAAAGGTTTTGAATTCCTCAGAAGGTGGTTTTGCTTCAATCACGGACCTCCTGGAACCAAGAGCCTGTTCACTTACAGTGTATCCCTGCAAGTAAATTCCACCTAGAAAAAGAAGGAGTCACAGTTCAGCAGTACAGGACAAACTAGGTATGAAGGTGGTCTCATATTTAACTCCTGCTATCTTGAGCACAAAAGTACTCAGGAAGCATTCTTGGGAAAGACTTCAACTTGATACCTTGAAAAGCTGCCACCTCAACTCAGTGCAACATAAGACAAGTTTGTAAGTACAGTGGTGCCTCGCTAGACGATGATAATCTGTTCCACTGAAATCGCTGTTTAGCAAAATCATTGTCTAGCGAAAAGCATTTCCCCCCTGGAATGCATTGAAACCTATTTAATGCATTCCAATTGGGAAGAATCGTCGTTGTCTAACGAAGATTGGCCATAGGAAAGCCACTTTGCAAACTGCTGATCAGCTGTTTAAATCACTGTCTTGCGAAGCTTAGGTCCCGAAATCACCTGTTTTGCCAGCGCGGAGGAAGCTGTCAAAATCGTCATCTAGTGAAAATTGGTTTGCGAAGCAGGGACCAAACATTGTCCAGCGAAATTCCCCCATAGGAATCACTGTTTTGCGAATCGCTATAGCGATCACAAAAAGTCAATGCCTAGCGAAAAAACTGTCATGCGGGGTAAATGTCTAGCAAGGCACCACTGTATGCTAAATTGTGTCCTTTTCCTGAGCCAGTAATCTCTGGGTCACATCTTGCCCACCCACAGAAGCCTCCTCTACTGACTTCAGGCCCTTGAGTTCTTCCCTTCCCATTGTCCCTAAACCCTTTGTTGGCACTTTTAGGAACATTTTTTCGTAACGCGCACTACACATTATCATAAGGAATGGCCTCCTTTGCACAGAATTAAGAGGCAAGACCCAGGCAGTGGGGATAACTGTGGAGATAACTATGACCATAACATTTGTTTATCATACATTTAAATCACCATACTGCACAGTGGGGCTGCCCATATTGCAGTTCCTAGGGCTGGAGTAGGGGTGGAGTTACTGTTGATCTGAAGAGTCAAGGTAAATCAGATTATTTCTGCTCATGTCACTTCCACCTCTTTCACCACCATCTCTCCTGTCTTTAATGGGTGAGTCCCCAGTCACAGCGCTTTGCTGCATATTTACAGCACAGCCCCAACCAGCCCACTTCTGGGAGATCTTTTCAGGCTCATATTCCCTCAAGTACTCAGGACTTTAAGTAAGTTGTGACCTATGTTGGCCTCAAAGGATGCCCTCAGGACAGTCTTGAATCCAATGATCCAAGAAGCTTGTTTGCTGGGTTCACTTTCACCCTAAGGCATTTAAAAGAGCTTAGCACTATTATTGTGTACTTTCTTCATTACTCATCTTTTGTGGCTACCTGTTTATAACAGCTCCCTCTCTACTTTGCCTATATGTGCCCTGTGGAGGCACATATGTGCAGGATGGGCAAGAAAGTCCTGGCCACCTTTGTTCAATACACTGTTTGAATTAGCCTACATCAAGAATTCTTATCTAGTCCCAAAGCAACCAGCAGACATACAGGGCATGCCAGTGGGCCAAGAGCAGCAAAGCAAGGCCAACCTTGGGGCAGGGAAGGCTAATAAGCTCCCAAGATGTTGTCACAGGGAAAGGGGTGGAGTTATTGTTGATCTGAAGAGTCAAGGTAAGTCAGATTATTTCTGCTCATGTCACTTCCACACTTCATTGCCAAGAAACAACATCATTTTCCATCTGAAATACTGGCTTTATTTCCAACTAGCCTGAATCCATTGTTGGGTGTTGTCCTGTACCCATCAGTAGGTTCCCAACCAAACCAGCATGCCCATTGGCTCATTTGATGAATCCTTGGTTTGGGGCCCTTTGTCTGTTTTTGAAGTGATACACAGCTGGAAGGGAACTACAGTAGAGCTGGGGGCATGCAGCAGGGGCCAGGCAGATCATCAAGGGCAACATCAGGAAGATAAGTGGGACTGAATGGTACAGTGAAGGCAGATGTCTGATGTGCCCTACAGCTGGTTCTGAAAAGAGCTAAACCAAGTGACTGCACCACCACCTTATTTTCCCCAGAGTCTCTCTGAGGCCCAATATTGTGTGGTAGAAGGATGCTACATTCTGGGTGGGACCCAGAGGCATTGGGGGTATTTCAGATGTATACAATTCTCTTGGCATTTCTCTTGTCTATCATAATTCTTTTTTTTTAATGGGAGGGATACCAACCTCAGCCCCAGGAACTTGGTCAATGATGTTCTTTGCCATACCATATGGTGTGCTAAAATCAGACACATGGGCAAGATTATCTTTTACGACATTTGTCTGAGCTAGTTTTAGAAAAGGTGCAGAGAAAGTATGGTCCACCTAAAGCTCGTGAAGAATACAAAGAGCTTGTGGCTTCATAAAGTGACTCTTATTTTTTTCACTCTGTAATTCCAGCCCTCACCAAAGTTTCCCATTTTACATGACTGGCCCTTTTATGTTAATGACAAGAAAGACCATGTGCTTTTAAAAAAGGAAAAGAAAGGCCACCACCTACCAAGAGCATGTGTAGAGCGTATGCTGGCATAAAAATATAAACAGCCATCTTTCAAAATGCAATAGTGTTGGTTCCACGTGTCCTTATTTTTGTCCAGTTCGTGAAGAAGTCCCAGGCACTCTGGATTTTTTATTGCAAGTGGTGGAAGGCTTGTGTTGTGTAGAGTCACATCTACCCATACATGGTTCTATAGGTTTGAATTAGAACAGAGATCATTTCTTCCCACTGGTAAAGAGGCTAAAAGCTGTGCAGGTTTTTCTAAACATCCAGATAACAGCTGATAGTCTTTCTGTGTTACCACAGACAGCACATACAGTACCTCTCAGAAAGTCTTAAGGAAAATATTCTGTCATTTACATTACAATTCCCTGCATTAGAAGGAGATTGAAAAAACTCTACTTTGTCTGTTTAATTATGATTTGGTATTCTCATTTCATGACAAAAGATTGTATTATAGGTTATGCTAATCAGCACATTTTATACGATACATGCCTTGAAAACCACTGCTGGTTAAGAACTGATATATAAATTGACGTTTCATTGCCAAGAAACACAGCTAGCCAAATACACCTGGTGGCACTGGAGATTAAGAATGCATATTTAAGCAATGAAACAAATCCATTCTTTAATTAAATTGACACCCATTTGACATTTGTCTTAATTTATCATTCTCATAGACAGCCAGATGAACTTCACAAATATTCTATCATGCTTACACTGAGGGCAACTCCTAGAGGAATGGTTATGTCGGTCTGTTCCAGCAAACAACAACAAAGGCTAAAAATCATGGTGTAAGCATCTGTGGACTGCATCTGATGAAGTAGACTTGGGAGGTGGGCATATTTTCATATCTCAGTCACTCAGAGTTATACACCCCCCAAAAAAAACTGTGCACATACGCCCATTTTCCTTTCCCATCTAGCAGATATGTTGGAGAGAGAGGACCTCTTGCAGAACCGTTCACTTACAGAGAGATTTTGAAATTGGGTTGAGGGCCACAAGAGATCAGAGTGAGGGCCACATACAGCCTTAATGTCATAGGTTGCTCACTCCTGCTCTTGATTTTGAAAGCTTTCTCTATAGTATATCTCTTAATTTTCAACATGCCACAAGATTGTCAATTGTTTCTTAAAGAAGTGACAATTCAGAATGTGGCTGTAAACAACTTTGCTGAGCACTGTTATGTCATGGTTACTAATCCTGGTGTAATACTCAAATAACTGTTCTGAGGCAAGCAATCAAAAATTAATGGATGGAAGATAAACAGATGGCTGTATGGCTACAGCCAGACATCCTGGAGAGCGAAGTCAATCAATGCAGAGATGCAAATCAATAGTCACAATGAATTCTAAGGGAGGGGGGAAGAGGGTCCAGTAACATCCAGATGTAATGACAAGGGCACAATATAGAGAAAGGTGTGCCAGAAAAACTGCTGTGCTTGCTATATTGTGGTTATTTCTCATCACAGCCCAAATATTTCCCTATGGAATGGAAGTTGGAGAACATCTCTGTGGCTAATTATGTGGGACAGGTCTAAAAACTGAAGCAGAACTCGGGAGAATTAAAACAGGTTGCAGTCTCATGAAGAAATAAAAGTATCATCCTTAAAGGATAAATTGCTCTGATGACTAAAAGGTATACCGACTAATTTTTGCTCATTTTTCCAACTTCTGAAATCTTGGGGTCTATAGTGGAAAGCTGATGTGCTTTTTTATCTGCAAAATCCAAAAATTGTTTAGTTGCTCATTTAAAGTCCTTGAGGAGAATCTGTACGCCGTTGAGTAACAGATAATCTGGATGATCTACTTTCCTTTAAATTACATTGTTTCTCTTGGACTCTTGATAAGCCTATGAGGAAATTATGGATATATTTCAGAAAGCATATTTAGCTGAATTCCTTCCTTGTGATTAAGGAGTACTGCAGCAAAGTGCAAAAGAGGACTGCAGTGATGCATAGCAAATTTAACAGAATAGATGGACCCCCAAATCTCACGTTTTAGGGGGCATATTGATAGCATCTGTACACCACGATAAAACAAGCAAGGCTTTTTTAGCCTCAAGGCCAAATTCACAACATTCACGAAAATCTTCAAAACTACATTGCAAGAGGAGGCAAAACCAAAGGTGGGACCCAAAGAGGTGGGACTAAGAAGACCAGCATGAAATGTTTACTGCCAGGAGCTAAGCCTTAGGAGAGACCTTTCTAGGCATAGGATGTGCAGATTCCCCCCCCCCCACTACAACTACCACAATTCATCACAAATTCCCCTAGCCAGAATGTTGGCAGGAAGCCAAGGCCTTAGAGAAGTATCAGCACCCACACCTGAGGCTCAGCGTGTTCTTCTCTGCAGTCACTGCAATAGGAGAAAGGAGGTGGGACTTGCTAAACTCAGTGAGAACTACAAGGGGTTGTGGGACTGGTAGCTTCTCTGGTAGCTCATTAGACGCTGTACGTGGTGGCTGTAAAAAAACAAACAAACTCAGTCCCATAATTCCTTGCAGTTATGCACATTTCAACAAGCCAAAATGGAAAAAGCCATTTTATGGCTTCCTGTAATGCATGAATATGGTCCTTGTCTATGTTTCAGTATGTGGCACCATAGAGTTTTTGATGAAAATAACTGCTGTCCTTTACAAAATGAAGATTTTCTATAAAGCTCTGGATAGCTTGTCAGACATTACTGAATAGCTCAGTAGTTTAGGTAGCAGAGCCAGAGGCTGGGAGATCGATTCCCCAGTGAGACTCCTTGAGAGGGTCTGGACTCGATGATCCATTGGGTCCCTTTCTGCTGTGCAGTGCAAAGATTGCTATAAATGAGAACCGTAATGTTACATTAATTTTTCCATTCTTCTTTTAAAAGGGGAAAACTGGAAGCAATAGTTACTGATTAAACCAGTTCTTTGATTATGTTTTTATTTATCTTTACAAAAAAAATACAGCAGTATCTTGGACCTAATGTGGCATAAAAAGATAACAATCCATGAAAATAATCTGGTTTTGAATTAGGAGAAATTGCTAAAAGCCTGAAATAATATGTACTTGTAGTACCTGGAGAAATAACTGAACAAAAAATCTTTCCCCTTCTATTCTTAATGATAGTTGACATTTGAAAACCTGCAATAGTTTTGACTTCTTGAATATTTTCATTTTCTGCAATGTTTTGACTATAACTCTCTGAAACAAAGCATTACCTGATGAACAGGGTGCACAGCTTTCTCCATGGCCTCCAACCACCTGCAAGGAAAGAGAGAGCATACCATAGGAACACTTGGCAGGAAAGAAAAACATAGTGCTTTTATGCACTTCAAGAGGGAAAGGGAGTAATATGCTATAAATTGCAAATGAAATATTTGGCAGGGAAGCTGGCCCTAACATTAGGCATAGTGAGATATTTGCCTAATGCTGCAAATTCTGAGACTGAGAGATGAGGAGATAGCAGAGGACAGAACTGTATGTGTCACATGGCCTGTCCGGTTTCCCTTAAGCTATTCTACTGCCCTTGGATGAGGTGACCTACTGCCTGTGTTGGACTAAAATTCAACAGTCAATTTAGTCAGTTTCTGTACATGGAATTGGAAGAAGAGCCAACTTTCCCTTCACCTCAGGCATACAAACACAGACAGGTTCAAGGACATGTTGGAGTTAGTACATCTCAGAGTAAGTGATAATATTCCCAATATATTTCTAATAGTAACATTAATGGTCTGCAGGTTTTTTGAACTTCAGCTGTTATGATACATATTTTCTGTTATCTGAGGACACATGTGCAGAACCACATATATCCAAGGATATCACTGGTGCTTGCAGGGCGGGACAGTTGTCTTTCAGCACATCAATGCTGTGTGTACGCGTGTGACACAGAAAGTTTTAATGAAGCCTAACTCAGAAGGGTCACTGATGAAAGTATGAATAGGAGAGATTACAGATGATCAAGACATATAGAAAACACAGTTTGCAATACAATAGCATGCCTCTGAAGGCATTCCTGGTGAACAGCAGGAGATGAAGGTAATTGTGTGCATATCCTGCTTATGGGCTTTTTATGAGCTGGGCTGTGTTAGGAAAAAAAGATGCTGGAATCAAGATGCCTTTGGTCTGATCTGACAGAATTCTCCTTGTATTAATAAACAAAGAGAAACAATAAAAAATGAACTAAAAAGGTGCTGATATAGACATATCCTTATAAAATAATAACAATAATAATAATAATAAAAGTATGAGACAACTCCAAAGAAATCCCAATACGATATATTTTCCTCTCCAGGGTTAATTGGTGATTATGTAGGGGCATGATCACATGAGGCAATTTTTCCCTAGTTATGCCTGTTAGATCTTGTAGAAATTTCTGATCACATGATGCACAGCCATTATTGAAGCATTCACCCAGCCAGCAGTGTAACTGCAGTTTATTTTCCACTCACTGGGAGGCTTCTCCTATTTTATTCCAAAGGCATATCAATATATTCCTTAGCGATGCATGGCTCTATCAATTCTTTTCTGAATCCAAGTCACCAGGGAAGGTGACTGCCCTTACTGCTGCATGGCTACCCTGCTATGATCTTTTTTAAAAAAAATTTCACAGCCAGTATGTCAATAGGTAGGTAAACTTATATCAACAGCCAGGTATAGCAAAGAATTTGTAGGCATTGCATCACTCCACCTACTGTCCGACAAGCCACACAGCCCTGGATGAGGATGCTGGATCCACTGTGTGCAATGCAGTTCTTCCAGAGGTGCCAGTGCAATAGAGGAAATTTTTACCAAACAGAAGTGCCTTCCCAGTATATCAATGTATCAGTTAAAAATAAAAAAGGAAGTGGCTGCATTGCCTCAGAAAAGAAGAAAGAAAATAAATCAGTACCACAGTGTTGCTGGCCATAATGATTCAAATAGGAGAAAATACTCATTAACATTAGAACACATTGGAACAATTGCCGCTATATTTACCACATGGCCCTGATTCAGTACAACAGGGGTATGGAAGGTATCGTTGGAAGTGGGGAATATTTGCCTCATCTGATCAGGCCCTAACTGATCTGAATATACAAATACAAAATGCAATAGACAAAAGTGGTGGTGAGGCAATGAAAATGTGCAATGAGTGGATTGGGTACCTTTTCATCTCTTGGTTTGACGTGGCACAGAAATAGAAAGTCCTGTTTCCAGTCTGAGGAATGCACTTGAACACAAAAGTTTTGCCCAGGCTACTGTCCACACCAATTTCAGCACCTTCTAATTTTGTTACTTCAAGTGGTCTGCACTTTCCTTCATCCTGTAATGAATTGGTGGGGAGAGGAAAGCATTGAGGAAACACTGGAGTAAATGTCCCGGCGAGATGCATAGCTCTTGGCAAAGGAAATAGATGCTTCCTTTCAGTTGCCCAAACGAGTTGCGTTTGTTTTCAAAAACAAAGAGAAAGGCTGCAAGTCTATGCCTATTGACTGAGAAGGAGCTATGTTGGGTATAATGAAACTTCTGAATCACAATCCATGGGAACACACTGAAAGACACTGATTTGTCTGCATATGTTCTACTTACATTGAAAGAGGGCTCTTCCCCCCCCCCTCCATTGCACTGTTGTTTATTCAGAGCAAAGCTTTTTCAATGTATGCTTATAGGTAGAGTCTTAAACAGCAACGGTAATCAAAAGATACTAATGGAGGTTGTCCCAGACTAATTGTTCTAGAATAAAAGGAGAAGGCCTTGTGCATTTCCTTAGACATTAGCACTGAACCCATATGCTTTTTTTCTGATGGCTCACAACATTCCTCAGTATTTTACAGATCTTGGGGATGGACCTCCTTTCCATTTGTGAAGCTGGGATGGAGGAGACCTAGAAAGTACAGAGCTGCATTTCTACCAATTCTCTGGCCAAATTTTTCTCCACCTCTCCCACTGGCATCACCATAGTCTCTGCAGAGTTTACAACAGATGATAGATGAGAGCAAACAATATAATGTTATAATGACTCAGAGATGAGGCATCATCATGCCTTGGATCCAAAGTCTAGTGAGGCAAATTTGGTTTAATATGGTTGTTATGCTTGACAGTCTGCTGCAGGTAAATAGATCAGGCTGCTGTATTTTCATACAAAATCATAAAAATGAATACTGAGGATTCATGAAAAAAAGGTGAGAAAAATAGAGTCTTAGGACTGCCAAGTCAGCAGCCGGCCACTCCCTGAGGATTCAAGACCAATACCTGACAGCACAGGGTAGGTCCTCATGATGAGACACTGGAAGCCCCTCTGATGTCACAGTGATAGGACAGGCAAGAATTTGAAGGGGAGCAAGCACAATACACCAACAAACACTGTTGTGCTGAGCCACTGAGCCCAGATACTCAGCTAGGAATAGGTAGAGATTAGTGGCACACATCGTTCCGGAGTAAGGTGCTAGGATCAAAGGATTTTATTCATATAGAATTCCTTTCAAGCCACCACAAAATCATAAAAATGAATAGCGAGGATTCATGAAAAAAAGGTGAGAAAACAGAGCCTTAGGACTGCCAAGTCAGCAGCCGGCCACTCCCTGAGGATTCAAGACCAATACCTGACAGCACAGGGTAGGTCCTCGTGATGAGACACTGGAAGCCCCTCTGATGTCACAGTGATAGGACAGGCAAGAATTTGAAGGGGAGCAAGCACAATACACCAACAAACACTGTTGTGCTGAGCCACTGAGCCCAGATACTCAGCTAGGAATAGGTAGAGATTAGTGGCACACATCGTTCCGGAGTAAGGTGCTAGGATCAAAGGATTTTATTCATATAGAATTCCTTTCAATATTCCGGTAAAGCTGCTTTTCCCCCTCAAGAAAACTGTGAAGTGGGACACACATTTCATTCTAACTGCAAAAACAGAAATGCAAATCAAGAACAAGAATGGCACTGAAAAGAGATTAATAATAAGCTGGGGAAAATTGATAGCTCAGTACTGCAACATGTGATTTGCATGCAAAACATCCTTGGTTCAACTCCGAATATCTCTATGAAAGGCTAGAAAAGGTCCCAGTGCTGAACAAGGCATAGCAACACTTCCACTATTTGTCATTCTTTTTGAAGGTATCAACACCAGTTTTCCCCAACTGCTCCTGATTTCCTGATTAGAGTTGCCAGCTTTCATGTTTTTGCCCTAAAAGTCCATTTTTCAGGATCTATGTTCTCAGTCTCAGGCTTAAAATGCCAGCCCGGCATCCCTAGATTTTAGGGTTCATTCTGATAGGTTCAACACATGCCATTGTGACATACTTAGAAGTGCCCTTTTCTTTTTAATGATGTCCTAGAGCATGGGAATGTCAGGTGATCATTTCTGTAAACATTAAAAAGTAATGGTGCCAGGATGTTACCCTGTGGGAGACAGTTCCTTTGATTCCCCCAGTGTCTCAGTGCCCATTGAAATTCAACAGCAGTCATAGATAAGAATGAAATTGTATGCTCTCACAAAATTTAGTGACCTAAATTCAGCTGCTAGTTCTGACTAGAATAATCATTGAATCAACAGAACTTATGCAAGTGTTTAAAGATCATTCAGCAACTAAACCAGTTGATCTGCTCTAGACAGGATTAGCCTCTGGGAAGAGTGTGGAGAATTTTGCCTTAATATTCTTCACCCCTAATGTGCTATCATGTCATATCCAACGTACAGCAACTCTAATAGGGTTTTCAAGGCAACTGACATATTTAAAGAGTGGCTTTACCACCAGTGTTCCCCTGGCCTAATACACACCAAGCGACCAGTGATTCACACCCATGTCACCTGAGTGCTTACCAGCCACTCTATCCATTACCGTACGATGGATACCCTTTATGATACGCAAAACTAGAGATGGGATGACTCACTATTTTGGTGAGTCGTCCTGCTTGAAGTTGCCCCCACAAAGCATGAAGTTGCCCCCATGAACTGACAAAGCATGAATTCATTTGTCGATTCATGGGGGTTGCTTAAAAAAACCCTCCCCCCTGCTGTGCTGC